GTGAGACCCGTGGTCCAGGTGCCCAGAGTTGGTTTGCACGTGCGCAGCACCACGCGCCCTGCCAGCCTTCGCCGCGTTGCCTCTCCTTGGGTCCTGCGCAGGCTGCGTTCAGCACTGGTTAGGACTTGGGAACGCTAATGAGATAATTAGTCCTGTTTCAGGAGCTACCGATGGTGGTTGCAGCTGCCCTTGAACTTCCAGGGTGCCCTGGCTTTCCCATATCACATCACGGAAAGCTCACTCAATAACGGTAAAGTGAAAGTTGTTACCTCCACGTTCGCATCCTTCCTCAGATGCTCCCGACCTTCCTGTTGATGTTCGCAGGAACGCTTTGATCTCTCTCAGATAGCAGCTAGTCCCGTCTCCTACTGCAATTACGCCTCGAGCTGAGTCCTTTCCCAAGGCAGGAGCTCAGCACAGCCTGGGCAAAGGGAAGGACCCCTGAATGGCACAGGGGGGAATTCCTGGGGTGGCTTAGGGCCAGTTTTTGGCTTCACGGGGGATCAGGTATAAATGAATGGTTTTATTTTGGTTCTTCTTTTCGGAAGACCGGCCTCGGGGTGGGTTGGGGTCACCCCTTGCAGCATGGGAGGCTGGGTGTTGTCCTCCTGGCTGCAGGCAGAGAGAGGTTTCTTTCTGGTGAAAGAATTGAGATTTTTGGTGGAATTTCAAAGAGTGAAAAGCTTTGGCAGAAATCCAGGCTGTGCTGGCTTGCTGGCGCTTGGGGTTTCGATTGAAAATAAAAAAAAAAACCAACCAAAACCCAAAGCAAAACCCCTGAAACTTTCCACGGGAAGCAGGCACTTTTCACAAAACATGAATTTAGTTGACGCTCTGACAGTGGAGTTGTTACCGATAAAAACCAGTCATTACCACGTTTAGACTGTGGGTCCCTGGCAAACACCGCCCGTGTCCACCACCGCCCGTGGCAGAAATATTGATTTTGATGGTGCCTGGTTGCCAGAGACTCAGCGTTACTTTTCCTAAGTGTCTGGGTAATTAACCTCCAAAACGTGGTGTGAGCGAGCACATTGGCCCTGCTCTCCCCG